TACACGTGTGTGTGTATATATATATATATATATTTATGCAGGCTGGGCACAGTGGCTCACACCTGTAATCCCAGAACTTTGGGAAGCCAAGGTGAGTGGATTGCTTGAGTCCTGGAGTTTGAGACCAACACGGGCAACATGGTGAAACACCGTCTCTACAAAAAATATAAAATAAATTAGCCAGGCGTGGTGGTGCACGCCTGTAATCCCAGCTACTTAAGAGGCTGAGGCTGGAGGATTGCTTAAGCCCAGGAGACAGAGGTTGCAGTGAGCCAAGATCATGCCATTGCACAGCAGCCTGGGTGACAGAGCGAGACTCTTGTCTCAAAAAAAAAAAAAAAAAATGATGGGGCCGGGCATGGTGGCTCATGCTTGTAATCCCAGCACTTTGGGAAGCTGAGGTGGGTTGATCACTTGAGGCCAGGAGTTCGAGACCAGCTTGATCAACATGGTGAAACCCCATCTCTACTAAAAATACAAAATTAGCTGGGCATGGGGGCACATACCTGTAATCCCAGCTACTTGGGGGGCTGAGACATGAGAATCTCTTGAACCCGGGAGGCGGAGGTTGCAGTGAGCTGAGATTGCACCAAAAAAAAAAACCCAAAATGTAAAGGCCATATATATGGGACACCAACTTGCTTTAGCTAACAAAGTATTCATCTGACAGTACTTGAGGAAGCCTATAGTAGTATTTAAAATTCAGCAGATTCTTTCATCCCACATAAATCTTGTTAAATATTTGCAAGCTAATTCACTAAAATTAACTGGAGCTGAATCAATGTGGGAAAGGATTTAACCAATGTTTACTTTTTACTCACCCTCATCATTATAACATTTCTTTTAGGGTGAATTTATTAACTGTATCTACATATTCTCATTTATAAATTAGTACTGTTAGCACCATATTTCTTAGCTGCATTGTGAGGGTTAAATACATTTATATTATTTAAAGCAGTGTCTGTCTAGTATTGAAAGTGTGCTAAATGAAGGCATTTATTGCTTTTCTTTGTTATTTTCTTAATCGTGCATTATTAGACATGAGAGGAAGGACTTATATATGCAGTGACTATAGGAACATCTTGCATCATCTCTTTTTCTTTATTGAAGGCTAGGTAATTCCTTCTGGAGAAAAATTTAATACTGTGAAGCCTTTATTTATAGCTCACCCTTTTGCCTTACTAGGGGATTCGTAATGTAAAGAAACCCAGTAGAATAAAAGTGAGTTGCTGTGAAGTCAGGTGGAAGATTTAGATGATTTATTAAAACTTTTAAAAAGGCTGGGCGTGGTGGCTCACGCCTGTAATCCCAGCACTTTAGGAGGCCAAGGGGAGGCAGATCACTTAAGGTCAGGAGTTCGAGACCAGCCTGGCCAATGTGGTGAAACCCAATCTCTACTAAAAATACAAAAACTAAGCCGGGCATGGTGGCGTGCACCAGTTGTCCCAGCTACTTGGGAGGCTGAGGCAGGAGAATCGCTTGAACCCGAGAGGCAGAGGTTGCAGAATTAAAAAATAATACAGCCCTAATCAAAATTCATTTCTCCACTAGAAAATTTGAAAACTACCTGTATAAATAATTTTTATATTAAAAAGGATGTCAGCCTGGTGGAGTGGCTCACACCTGTAATCCCAACACTTTGGGAGGCCAAGGAGGGTGGATCACGAGGTCAGGACATAAGACTATCCTTGCCAACATGGTGAAACCTCGTCTTTACTAAAAATACAAAAATTAGCTGGGCGTGGTGGTTCACACCTGTAGTCCCAGCTACTCAGGAGGCTGAGGCAGGAGAATCGCTTGAACCCGGAGCGGGAGGTTGCGGTGAGCCGAGATCACACCACTGCACTCCATCCTGGCCCAGACTCCATCTTGGCCAGGCGAGGTGGCTCACGCCTGTAATCCCAGCACTTTGAGAGGCCAAGGCGGGCGGATCACAAGGTCAGGAGATCGAGACCTGCCTGGCCAACGCGGTGAAACCCCGTGTCTACTAAAAGTACAAAAGTTAGCTGGGCGTGGTGGCACATGTCTGTAATCTCAGCTACTCGGGAGGCTGAGGCAAGAGAATCGCTTCAACCAGGTAGTTGGAGGTTGCAGTGAGCCGAGATTGCGCCACTGCACTTCGGCCTGGCGACAGAGTGAGACTCTGTCTCAAAAAAAAAAAGAAAAGAAAAAGAAAAACGGCCCTCCATATACACGAGCTTCACAGTCTGAAAATACTATATATTTTATTCACATTTGGTTTGAAGAAACCCACATATAAGTGCACCTACACAGCTAAAACCTGTATTAGGCTGGGCGCGGTGGCTCACACCTGTAATCCCAGCACTTTGGGAGGCTGAGGTGGGCGGATCATGAGGTCAGGAGATCGAGACCATCCTGGCTAATACGGTTAAACCCCGTCTCTACTAAAAACACAAAACTTGGAAATTCTGTTTATCAGAAGGTGTATGACTATTAATGCTGGGGACAAAGAAGATCCCAGAATTTAGGATGAGTATGGGGACTCTCAGAGCCTCTGATGAAAGAGGAAGGCATGATTTCTAGGGATATACTATGATGTGTCCTGTGAAATGCAACAATAGCTGAAATATATATGAACAAAGGAAATAAGAATCTTAATTCAACAACTCAAGGCTGTACCCACTATGCCACTTAAAAACCTTTCACATTTCAGAAATAGAGAATCTGATTTTCAGAGAGATTATCCTTACCTACTGTGAATAGTTTTTATAGTTCTCCAGCATCACATCTCTGTACAAACCCCTCTGAGCAGGTTTCAATTGTTGCCATTCCTCCTGAGTAAAGCCAACAGCCACATCCTTGAATGTTACTCTTCCCTGTAACAACACATTCCTGATCAGTCTGAGAGCACTGGGTGACACATGGAAGCATTTAGGAGTCTGAATTCATCAAAAGCTATATAGATGCCTAATATTTGTCTAGTTTTATTTCATATTCTAGGAGAGAATAAGTCATATAGAATGTGTTCTCTAAGTACAGGTAACTTAAAGGTTCATGATATACTTAAGGTGATCTCATGTTGGAAAATAACAGAGATGGAATGGCTGAAAAGATGGTTGTGTGATTCATGGGGACAGGGTATATGGCAAAGGGTGTTGGTGGCAGAAAGTGGTAAAAGGAAAAGAAGAATAAAATTTTGGACATGTAAAATTCAAGTTTTCTATAGAATAACTAGGTAAAGATATCCATCAGACCATTATGTATGCTCATTAGGAGCTCAAGTAGGGATTGGAATGCAAATGAGTAATTTGATATTCATCAGTGTATAATGATGACTGAAACCATTATAGCCATTGCAGTGGGGTGTGATAATTCATTGATGCTATGCGGAATGGGATACAAAGAGGGGTGTAGGGACAAGTACCAGTTGAGAAACAAGCAAAGAAAAAGGATTCATAAGTGGAAAATTGTTTTCAAGTTGTCAGATGATTCTAATTAGCATCATGAGAAAACAATATGATGAAGCGAAGGAAAATATTTAAGATGTCTTTTTAAAAAAGAGCCATGATGGCCAGATTTTAAGTTTACCTCTCATAAAACCAATTTTAAAAAAACAAAAACTTAATTTCCAAAGGAATGTAAAAATAAGGAAAAATATTTTAATTTGTGATAGAAATAAGAAATTGAGGCATCCACATACCCCATACTTTGAGGACTTTCTTACAGGAACAATACACATAAGATGAGACAGAAATCACCAAGATCTGAGTCGTAAGTTTCTGAGGAAGAAATGAGGCAAACGTTAATTCAATGTTGAATGGTGACAATCATTGCTCTGAGCAACTTAACAACTCATGAATTCTCAAAAAACTTCCATCTATAGATTTAGCCTCGCTTTTAAGTCATAAAACTGAGGAACTGACAATTTCAGTAACTATAATTTGCTCACGTCACACAGAAAGTAGTGGAATGAGAATTGAAATCTACATCTTTTCACGTCTAAAATCTTTGCTTTTGACCTCTACACTATTAAAAGTAACTAACTGGACACGTGAACAGAAGAATGGTTGGTATGTTTGTTGTCTCCTCAGATGTGGAGAACCACGTAAGGGGAATCACACAGTAAAGAAAGAACTATGTAATATATTTAAGTGTAAGTATTAACTAGTGGGGAAGGGTTCTAGAAGCCATAGGAAAGATGGG